CTAATCTATCTAATCTGTCTAATCTGTCTAATCTATCTAATCTATCTAATCTATCTAATCTATCTAATCGATCTAATCTATCTAATCTATCTAATCTATCTAATCTATCTAATCTATCTAATCTATCTTTCTATCTATCTATCTACCTACCTATCTATCTATCCATATATCTATCTTTCTATCTATCGATCTATCTATCGATTGATCTATCGATCGATCTATCTAACGATCTGTCTATCTATCATGTATCTACCTATCTATCTATCGATCGACCGATCGATCTATCTATGTATCTATGTATCTATGTATCTATCTATCTAATCTAATCTAATCTAATGAAAGAAAATCTTTCTATCTATCTATCTATCTAATCTCTGTATCTATCTATGTTTCATTCTTTCTTTCGTTTGTTCTTTAGTTTGTTCTTTCTTTCGTTCTTTCTTTCTTTCTTTTTCTTTTCTTTTATTTTCTTTTCTTTTTCTTTTCTTTATTTCTTTCTTTCTATCTTTCTATCTATCTATGTCTGTCTGTCTGTCTGTATGTATGTATGTATGTACAACTGGCTAACACACACACACACATATATATATATTATTATATATATAATATATAACATAGAACTGCAGGCTGCCAAACTTCTTCTAAGGCGTGCCACTCCCACAATGGTGAGAGGCTTCGACAGTCTCCTTAAGGTATCCTTCTGTGATGTAGAATCAGCAAGGGGTGGTCATGGATGTGCAAAATGCACTGCTCCAAAATGGGCTGCCTGAAAATGCTGATGGCTTGTCATCATTTGCCACTTTGTACTAATTTCAGTGTATCTTAAATACTATCCACATGTCAATCATTCTGTATATCTGGCTTGCTCCCAACACCACAGATACAAAATGGGAAAATATATCGGTAAATTGCAAATTGTCCCCCCGTGTGGCTATCACATACCTACAACAGATTGGAGCGCCCTTGTATCTTAACCCATACTATGCGGTTGGGAAACTCCTAGTGGCTCCAAATCGCCCCATTTGAGATGGAATGTGGATACCCATAGCTCCAAATCGCTCCCTCGTACCACTAGATCCACTAGATCCACTAGATCCACTAGATCCACTAGATAGTCAATACAGTATATATACAGTATATATCAATGTTATATACAGTATATATATATATATATCAATATCCGCCGACCCCTGCAGGGGGGAGTGCGCCAGAGAAGCCGGGGCTTTGCGAATTTGCTTGTTGCAATCTTTCTTCCCGATCTTTATGTTTCTCTGCAGTCTCTGGGGCCCTTGGGGGTCCACAGGATCTGGAGGATCTGGAGTCTCTGGGGCCCAGTGTCACTTGCTGCACTCTTTCTTCCTATCTCTTTATGCATTCCTTAGGTGACGTTTGGCATCTTGGCTCTGAGGATCTGGAGTCTCTGCAGGTTCTGGGGCCCTGCTATCTTTATGCATTCCTTAGGTGACGTTTGGCATCTTGGCTCTGAGGATCTGGAGTCTCTGCCTGGGTCCCTGCTCTGCAGGATCTGGAGGATCTGGAGTCTCTGGGGCCCTTGGGGGCCCACAGTCTCACTCGCTGCCCTCTTTCTTCCTATCTTTATGCTTTCCTTAGGTGACGTTTGGCATCTTGGCTCTGAAGATCTGGAGTCTCTGCAGGTTCTGGGTCCCTGCTATCTTTCTGCATTCCTTAGGGCAGTCTCTGGGGCCCTTGGGGGTCCACAGTGTCACTTGCTGCAAGGACCTGGGGTCTCTGCAGGTTCTGGGTCCCTGCTCTGCAGGATCTGGAGGATCTGGAGTCTCTGGGGCCCAGTGTCACTTGCTGCACTCTTTCTTCCTATCTCTTTATGCATTCCTTAGGTGACGTTTGGCATCTTGAGGATCTGGAGTCTCTGCAGGTTCTGGGTCCCTGCTATCTTTATGCATTCCTTAGGTGACGTTTGGCATCTTGGCTCTGAGATCTGGAGTCTCTGTCTGGGTTCCTGCTCTGCAGGATCTGGAGGATCTGGAGTCTCTGTGCCCAGTGTCACTTTTGCTGCACTCTTTCTTCCTATCTTTATGCATTCCTTTGGTGGACGTTTGGCATCTTGGCTCTGAGGATCTGGAGTGCTCTGCAGGTTCTGGGTCCTGCTAAATTTCTTTCTGCATTCCTTAGGGCATCTCTGGGGTCCCTTGGGGTCCACATGTCACTGCTGCATGATCTTGGGTCTCTGCATGGTTCTGGGTCCCTGCTCTCAGGATCTGTAGGATTCTGGAGTCTCTGGGGCCCCGTGTCACTTGCTGCCTCTTTCTTCCTATCTTTTATGCATTCCTTGGGGCATTCTCGTCTCTGGGCCCTTGGGGGTCCACAGTTCACTTGCTGCACGGATCTGGGTCTCTGCAAGGTTCTGGGTCCCTGCCTGCATGGAATCTGGAGGATCTGGAGTCTCTGGGGCCCAGTGTCACTTGCTGCACTCTTTCTTCCTATCTCTTTATGCATTCCTTAGGTGACGTTTGGCATCTTGGCTCTGAGGATCTGGGGTCTCTGCAGGTTCTGGGTCCCTGCTATCTTTATGCATTCCTTAGGTG